GTTGCATTTTACCAACCTCAGTGAACCCCAAGGTCTCCTACTGTTTTGCATTTAATAATCATACTTTGTCCAGCATATTAACTATGTGGCCTTGGAAAATTTATTTACCATATTCCAGTATTATACAACTAACTCATAGACTTATTGAGAGTATTAACAGAATATATAAAAAACACCTAATATAGCAATAAATATAAGGTTTTATACGTATTGGTATTAGCAATAGCAACATTATCCTTTTAAACTGATTAAAACTGAACAGATACTTTAGTAAATAATGTTCAGATTTGAACAACATGTCTTTAATCTGAATTTCTGATTCAGGTACCTTCTGACATAGAAATATCAGGTTTTATTGATAAGTTCAAGGATAAGAACATCTCCAGTTTGGATGAGGTAGAGAGATGTCTGGGACTTCAAAGGTGCTTTGCTGGTCCTTCCTTCCCACACATAAAATCTCTTCCCCTAAGTGACAGCTGAGGTTTCTAATTAAGTTACATGTCACCTCCAACATTGGAGAGAGCATTTAAGTTATGAAATATATTCATTTTATGCCCCTCCAGTACCATACTCCTATAGGTAATAGGTTTATTAAAAGCAATCTTAAACCAAAGGAAATCATATAGATAAGTTTTCTTCCTCACAATAAAAAAAAACATTAGTTATCAGAGATTCAGTTGTCAAGGAGTTAGTCATCTGGTTTCTCTCTCCATCTGAATAAGACAGCTTCCCTACAAGGCCAGTCAGTTGGTTACAGATAGGTAATTTTAAATCTTTCCTCCATGATTCCATTAAAATTATTAAAGGAATTACAGTGAACCCTGTAGTTTGGTCTGTGTCTTACATATAGCTTTATTGCATGGCCCATAATTTAAATGAGAAACAATGTATGACTTTAATTCCTCAGTCTTTTTCCAATTCATTTTTGTCGTTATTTTATTAAATATGCCAAAAAATGCACCAAGAAATGAAAGTGGAAGCTTTATCACATATTTGTATTCCACTCACAAAATTGAATTATCAATCAAGGATAAATAGTAATAAGAATTTTGTTTAGCTTTAAATGAGAATAGACTTGCTAATGTGCTTTTCCCACTCAGCGAGATGTGTCTCTTTTTATTGTCAAAGTTTTTGCTTTGACTTAACAAAAATCCTTTTGTCAAGATACTAGTTTTAAATTTGCTCTCTGTTTATGTGAACAAATACCATAAGTTTAGAAATAGTTCATGTATAGTGGTATAGTTATATTTACACATTGAATGAATGTGTTTGTAAATTGAGTTTGATTTCCTTAAACCTTCACTGGCAGGTGTTATAGTTTATATCTAAAATGTTCCCCAAAGCCTCATGTGCTCCCAGGTAGGGCTTTTGGGAGTATCTGCATCATGGGTGTGTGATACTAGATCCTGGGTATGATAACTAGATCGGTCTACTGATTGTATTAACATGATTCCGGGTGTGCCTGAATGAATTTACTGAAGATAGAAGACACACCTTGGGTGTGAGTGGCACCAACCAATAGGGTTGTAGCCTGAATGGAATAAAAAAGGAAAAGGAGACTCACTCCTGCTGCTTCCTGCCTGCCTCGCCATGAGCTCTTTTTCTTCTGCCATGCTCCTCTGCCGTACCTTCTGGCCTGTAGCCAGCTGTCTATGGATTTAAACCTCTTCAAACTGTGAGCTAAAATAAACCTATCCTCCTTTAACTTGTAGGTGTCATGTGTTTTGTCCCAGCTATAAAAAAGTAATTAAGACAGGACAGCTTGATTTTGAAGTTCGTGTGTTTTTTGTAGGGAAAAAGAAATTGGTTTTCATTTGAAGAGCAGAGTTTAACATTGATTTTGAGAGCATTACTGTGAAAACAGGTGAATTTTCCTAAGTGATTCCACAGATCTGAGAATTTAAGATGATAGTTTAAAATACTATATACTGTTCCATTCCATTAATGATCCATTAATTATTGCCCTGTTTGGAAAGTTAAAGTAACTTATAGCTTTGAGAAATAGTTAACATTGTTCTTGCTGACATATAGCATTATTAAAATCATTGAAGGATAAATTATTTACCAAGAAATTGGCTTTTGCAACTTTTAGCAGGTAGAATTTTAGTTTTATTGCAAGGCACACAATCATATACACAAGTACAAGATTTAAATAATATACATTATAGGAAAGAATACATGACTATACTAGAATACTTTTCTTTCAGAGAAAATTACCTTAGAGCAAGCAGGTTTATGCTATGTGTGAATGGGATTTTCATATTTATGCTAAATCACCCAAAGAATTCTTGCTTAGAAAATAAATCTCATTGAAGGGACATATAACCTTGCCACAGTTTTTTTCCTTAAAAATATTCTGAGCTAAAACCATCTAATGTATTCTTTTATTTCACTTACTCATTTTATGTCCCTCACTCGATGAAACACCTATAAATTCTGATACTAGTTAAAGAATATTACTTCTCAGTAATATATCACAAGAAGAAATTATTTTCTTAAAATATATGTGATGATTCCTTGATTTCTTTCCAAATAGTGTTTTCAAACTTTGCTTCTTTTCAATTATAAGCCTAGAGTTTTGCCTTAAATTTTTTACCTAAAGGGTACTCCTAGATTTGTAAGTAGCTTAATATATTAAGGGTATTTCCACTTTTCTCCTCCCAGTTGGAGCTGTTGGTTTTATTCTCACCACTGTCTCCTGCATGGCCAGTTCATTTCTCTGACCTTTTACGAGGTCTTGTCTTCCCCAAATTGTTACCAGAGTAGGGGGATAGAATCTATGCAGAGTCGATCTCAAGGTCAGATGTGTGCAGTTCTGGTCTCCAAGAGACACAGTAGGCAATGCCCTTCTTTTGAGATGGGAGAACAGGAACATGAGAAGATGGGAAATATCTGTGAGGCAGTGGGTGCTTGGACTGATGAATGAATGGCAATGGCATCACTGCCTCTCAGCACTATGCAGACACTCATAGGCATTGGCAAACATTCACTCTACCTCCTTCTCTCTCCCTTTCTCTTGCATGTACTTTTGAAAAAGAAATACATCTGTAAAAACAGTGTTATTTCTACCATAAGTGCCTGACATTATCATTCCTTTAAAGAAGTGCCTTATAGGAAGGATTAATATAGTGAAAATGGCCATACTTCCAAAACTGCTATATAGATTTAATGCTATTCCAATAGAGATCCCAGCAGCATACTTCATAGACCTTGAGAAAACAATCCAAAAATTCATTTGGAATAAGAAGAGACCCAGAATAGCAAAAGCAATTCTAGGTAACAGAAACATGGCAGAGGGTATCACAATCCCCAACCTGAAACTCTACTACAAAGCTACTGTGATAAAAACAGCATGGTACTGGCAAAGAAACAGACCTGAGGACCAGTGGAACAGATTAGAAGATGCAGAAACAA